CTCCTTCCCTCTCCCTTTGTTTTCCTTGCTGCTCAAGAACGGGGGAATGGCCAGGGTTTGTAGGAAAATGTGATTTGGGGGAAGCTTTGGGAGTGGCGTTTCCCAAAATTGCTCCGTCCTCGTTCGCAGTCTGGAATTGTGGCCTCACCCTGGAAGCCCCCAGGATGAGCTCCCAGCCCCCAAATTCAGCCCCAGGACCTGGAGCTCTCCTGGAAATCTCTGGAGAGACCCCAGGAACTCAGGACAGCTCCACCTCCTCCCTGTCCTTTATAAATCCCTATAAATCTCCCTGCATTTCATAAACAACAAAAGGGACAAATCCTTACTCCTGCGCTTGCATTCCTGCTGGGAATCATGCAATTTTAGGCTGGAAAAGAGGTCAAAGATCAAGTCCAGCACTGCCAAGGCCACCACTGACCATGTCCCAAGCGCCACATCCATGTGGTTTGGAAATCCCTGCAGGAATGGGGATTCCAGCACTGGCCTGGGCAGCTTGGAAAAGTTTTAGATGGATCCTGGCCGGATCCAAGCAAGGTCCTGAATGATTTGTGTCATGCAGAGTCCCCATCCCTGCTCAGCGTCCTTTTTCCATAAACACGCTGGAATCTGGGATGTCATTTGTCAAAACCGTGGGATTTTGGCAGGGGTGGATAACGGGATGAAGAAATTTTCCCTCACATGGAAAGACCCCATAGGCCAAGGCCAGAACTCCGCTGGCCAACTCAAGATCCATTCCCTCACCCGATTTTTGCTGAATTACAGCCTCTTTCCTGCAAAAAGTGGGGGAACCCATATCCCAAAGGATTTCCCGGGGGTTCCTGCAGCTCCCCAAGGGGCAGCAGCCCCAGAGACCCCTCGGGTCGGGCTCGGTGGGGCGGAGGAGCCCCTTGGAGCTGGCGGGGCTGAGCAGCCCAGGGCATCTCTTCACTTGCAGCTCGGAAGCGTTTCGGAAAGGTGGCCGGAAAGGGGCAAAGCGAGTAATGATTGTCATCACAGATGGAGAGTCCCACGACAGCCCAGACCTGGAGAAGGTGATCGAGGACAGCGAGAGGGACAACGTCACCAGATACGCGGTGGCGGTGAGTGACGGGACTTTTGGGTTCTGGAAATCATGGAAATCATGGAAATCCTGGAAATCATGGTGGTGCTCCAGAAATCCCAAAGCACCAGAACAGCCCATTCCCACTGCTCCTGGAGCATTCCAACTGTTCCTGTCCATCCCCTCTGCTCCTGGAGCATTCCAAGAGCTCCTGTCCATCCCCACTGCTCCTGGAGCATTCCAAGATCTTCTTGTGTGCTCCAGGAATCCCAAAGCACCAGAACAGCCCTTCTCTGTTGCTCCTGGAGCATTCCAAGAGCTCCTGTCCATCCCCTCTGCTCCTGGAGCATTCCAAGAGCTTCTTGTGTGCTCCAGGAATCCCAAAGCACCAGGACAGCCCATCCCCACTGCTCCTGGAGTATTCCAACTGTTCCTGTTCATCCCCTCTGCTCCTGGAGCATTCCAAGAGCTCCTGTCCATCCCCACTGCTCCTGGAGCATTCCAACTGTTCCTGTTCATCCCCACTGCTCCTGGAGCATTCCAAGATCTTCTTGTGTGCTCCAGGAATCCCAAAGCACCAGGACAGCCCATCCCCACTGCTCCTGGAGTATTCCAACTGTTCCTGTCCATCCCCTCTGCTTCTGGAGCATTCCAAGAGGCCCTTGTGTGCTCCAGGAATCCCAAAGCACCAGAACAGCCCATCTCTGCTGCTCCTGGAACATTCCAAGAGTTCCAAGTGCTGCTCTTGGGATGCTCAGCTCGGGATTCAGCTTCTGGACCAGGGACAGGCAGGACCCCAAATTCCATGAAGAACGTCCTGCCAGGAGGAATTGCAGCAATTCCTCTGTTTGTTCCCACAAAGTGGTGTCAGATCTGAAGAAGGGGCTTCTCCCACGTGGACAGCCCGAAGGGTTTTGGGATGGTTTTATCCATCCTGGGAAAACGGCCCAGAGGAGCTGCTGACCCCCCATCCCTGGAGGTGTCCAAGGTTGGACAGGGCTTGGAGCAGGTTGGATAGAGGAAGGTGTTCCTGCCCATGGAATGGGATGAGCTGCAAGATCCCTCCCCACCCAAACCACCCGGGAATTCCAATTCCATGAAAGTCTCGCATTTTATTCCCAACCAGGTCCTGGGTTATTACAACAGGAGAGGAATCAACCCCGAGGCCTTTCTGAACGAGATCAAGTTCATCGCCAGCGACCCCGACGACAAACACTTCTTCAACGTCACCGACGAGGCGGCCCTCAAGGACATCGTGGATGCCCTGGGAGAGAGGATCTTCAGCCTGGAAGGTGAGGGATGCTCCTCCCTGGCACCTCCCAGGGCTGGGAATGTGCTGCTGATCCCTTTTTCCCCCAATTTCTATGTGGCTTCCGCAATATCCAAGCCTAAAATCCTGCTTGGAATATCTTCAGATTTGAGGAAATGTCTTTATTTGGAGCTGTTGCTTCCCTCGGATATCAGAAGCAGAGAACCCTTTTCCAAAGGACACACCTCGTTCCAGCCAGAGGAATTCTGGTGGCTTTGATTTTTCCTTTTTATAGAAAACCTTGGAGATTTGGTATGGGGGGAATTTGGGCGTCGGTGTCTCCCTCATCCATCAAATTCCAGGGTTGTAAACAGGAAAACCCACACACAGGAGCTTCCTGGGGTGCCAGACATCAGGAGATTATGGGAATAATGTTGGGATTTCGGGCTGATTGGCTGAAATGAAATATCAGGAAATATTTCTGTCTTAAATGTCAGCTCCTGTGACAACTTTGTCGCCCTCCCAAACTAAATTTATCCGAATTTCAGAGGAAAAATGCAGCCTGGAATGAACAATTGGAACAGAAGATGGAGGGCCCGCACTGGGAATGAAACATCTTGAATTTGGGGGATTTTGGCTCCAACCAGCTCACAAACTCCCCACAAGTTTCCCAGTTTTCTCTGTCCAGCCTGGCGCTTCCCTGTGGAAGTTGCCCTGGATGAGGAATTCTCCCAGCTGGAATAATGAAGCAAAAATCTCCAAATCCCCAGTTTTGGGTGATCTTGCAGCTCTGCAAGGGGAGAAGCTGCAGCCCAGCAGAGCTCCCAGACTCCCTAACAGCACAAGGCTGTGGAATTGGGGGATTTAGGGAGAAATGGGATCATCAGGAGGATGTGGAGCTGCTGGAGCAATTCCAGAGGAGGCCCCGGAGCTGTTCCAGGAAAGCAAAACTCTCCAATTAACACAAATTCCCTTTTTTTTGTTTAAGGAACCAACAAGAATGAGATCTCCTTTGGACTGGAAATGTCCCAGACTGGATTTTCATCCCACGTTGTGGAAGTAAGAGAGAAAATGTGGGAATTTTTTTTTTTTTTT